AAGGACATAAATGTAATAATATAACTTTATTGCTATCTATCAAACCACATGTAAATAAAATCTGAAATGTCACTACTATCCTCTATAGAAAATAATTTTACTTCCAAAAAATATTATATTATGTTACTTCCAAAACGTTATACTATTTTTATGTCTTATTCCAAATACATTTATTGCTTATAATATAAACAATTAAAATTGTCAAAAAAACAATTTAAATTTTAATTAGAATAATTGAAATACTAAAACACATGACTTAATATAAAATTATTTCAAATAATTTCAAATAAAACGTTTTAAATTATTATTGAGATATTTTTATCATGAATGTCATGATATAGTAATAAATTTTTTCTTATAATATCATTTGTGTATTTTATAATTAATAATTATTTTATAATATTACTCTATTAAAAAAATTGATTGGTATCCAAATTTTTAAATGAATGTATTGACACAACTACATAACTAAGATTTTTCATGTACAAATATTAAAAATTCTTGTAATGCAAAATCTATAAAAAAATAAAAAAAAAATAATCCATTGATATGACCTTTTATTGAAACCAAATATTTATCTATTTAACTGTCTTTTGTCATAATTGAAATATTAAAACACATGGATTAATATAAAATTGTTTCAAATAATTTCAAATAAAACATTTTAAATCATTATTGTGATGTTTTAATCATGAATGTCATGATATAATACTCAATTTTTTCTTATAATATTCTTTGGTATTTTATAATTAATAAATTTTTTTTATAATATTAATCTATTAAAAAAATTGACTGGTATCCAAATTTTTAAATGAATGTATTGGCACAACTACATAACTAAGATTTTTCATTTATAAATATAAAAAATTCTTGTAATGCAATGTCAATTATAAAAATTTAAAAAAAAAATCTATTGATATGACTTTTTACTGAAATCAAATATTTATCTATTTAACTGTTTTTTTGCAACGTCATAATGTATGAATCTTTCTTGTTCTTATTGTATTATTTTATTATAAATATATTATTCAATTAACTTCTGGTTCTTACTGTTTTTTGTTATTTACAAAATGTTTGTATGTTTTTAATTCATTTTTTAAAATGTTAATGTATTAATATGAATGTATTGTCACAACTACATAATTGAGATTTTGCATGTTTTATCTACTTCATTGCTTTTTTCGTACATAAATAATGTTTTATCTACAAACATGTTTTAAAATATATTTTTTAACTTCATAAATAACATTTTGCATGTACAAATATGAAAAAATCGTGTAATGCAAAGCCAACAAAAGACTTCTTTAAAACCAGTTTATGAGGAGGCAAGCCATTCGGAGTTAATGAAATCAGGAAATCTTCATCATAATTTCTATTTGTGTCATCGATGACTTCGTCAAAGCTGTTAAATATTTTCTCTTCTCCCGTATTCATATTAATTTATTATAATGTAGTGATCCTATAACCAACCAAAGTAGAGTAAAAAACAACAAATTCTAACTTATATGTTTACTTGTTATTCATTTTATTCATTTAATCTGAAAACTCCAATTACACTTACGAAAAAAGAAACGTAACTTTTGGATATTTGCTGCATTTTCATTATTTTTTTTGGATATTTTAGTAATGTAATATTATAAGAAGTTACTTCCATCAATGTTTATTTTCATCACTATGTATTTAAATATTTACTCATATCTATATTTATAGTTACAAAATAAATTACATGTAATGAAGAGTTTATAGTTTCCAAATTTTAATAAATGAAACAATAATTTAGAACCTTCTATCATTTCAGTAAAAATTTATAATTCCAATTTAATGTCATATGATATGTGATAAATAATTGTAGTATAGTCAATTTTCAACATTGAGAATGCATTAGTCTTTTAATTAACAATGAGAAAATAAGTTACAAATTATTATTATCAACTCTAATATAAGATATATTTTGAATATTAATTACAGTTGAATGGTCGTGAATGTTAACTGTCATTTTCAAAATTTGGTAAAAACACACAAAAGTATATATCATGTGTAACAAGTTTCTACGCTAATAATCAATTTTTTATTAGTAAAAATATAACTTTTATGTAATATACAATCTAGTTTCTTTTTTAGTTTAATCGAAGTTAAGCAAAATAAATTTAACTAATTTTTACTATGGGTTTTTAAGTCCCTAGAATAATTAAAAGGGATTGAAGTTCAATTTTGCAATAACTATCTTATAAGGGAGAGGTGTTTCTTGAAAAGATTAAATTGCCGAAAATTCCATACGCTATATAATGTGATTTTGTTACAACTGTTTAGGAATTTCAAATATTAACAGTTACAATTATTTTTTCAATCAACACTTTTTTTTTATCTATGATCTTATTAATATTTTATTTTATTTTTTACCTATTCAATAATTTAATTTCTTTTAGCTGATATAAAGACGTTAAGGTTATGTAAACAATATACAAATTAGAAATAAAAAATTGAATAAAATTTATGAAAAATGTTGTTTTTGAATGTAAGAGAGAATATTATTTTAAGGTTTGTAAGTAAAATAAGTTTTATTTCATAAGTGTAAAAAATATATAATGCACAAATAAAAATATCATCTCTAATTTTCAAATATCAAATATTATTGTAGATATTTTTTTATAGTATTAAAAAATTAGAGAGAAACACTTTAGTGAACATGCATATGTTTAAGACTGATTGAATCAAAAATAGTTATTCAACATACAAATATCAATTCTTTATTAAAAAAAAAGCAGTTAAGTGAAAATATATAGTTCTTAATAGAAATACTTTGTTTACATTATTCACTAAAAAATATGCATGATACAATTTAAGTTTATCTGTTAGTAGTATGTAGAATATAAATGTCTTTTATGATAATAAATTAATCTACTATTTACTTCAATTGTAATATAAATCAACATATATAGTAATTATAAAAATAAAATAAAATATCAACACTCGATTTTAAATCCTGGATTTCAAAATATGTACTTGTTAGAAAATATAGTTATAATTAAAATTAAATAAATAAAATTTATATTACATTTACTTTAAATTTATTTCATTAGACAATCTTATTATAAATCATAAATAAATGCAAATTTTCAAAAATAGGAAACATAAACCTTGTAAAAATATTGACACATATATAAAATAATGTTAAGATAAAAGTAAAATATGAAAGAATCATTATTTTACAATTTATTTAAAATAGATTATTATTTTTTCACTTTTGGATAGTTTTGAAAATCCATGAACGATAATGATAATGATGCATTACAATGTTAGGATATATAAAAATAATTTTTTTTGGACAATATATATAGATAGGTACCTTCAATCAACCAATGTTACGGCAATATTTATAGATAGATGGGAACCTTCAGTCAATCAATGATGTTATTGTTCCTAATAATTTTCAAGTATATTTATTTTTTAATATTTACGACTTTAAATACATTTTCAAATATTTATCTCTTATATCATTATATACAAAGATAAAATATATATCTAAATATTACGAAATATTACACGTGCAAATATAATTAAATTTTCAACCGTTATTATCAAAATAATAGAGAACGAAACATTAAATCATAGTGTTAGCTTCCAATCAACAATAAGTAAATGATTATTACAAATTATAATTATAGTAAATTCGAGTTATTTTTCAAATAGTAAGACGCAAAAGGAATACATTAAAAAGATATTATTTTGACAAACATAATGATCATTATTTTAAGCATAAGGATGATATCACTAAATAAAAAAATCAAAGACGACATAAATTTCTTTATCATTTCAAATTTCACAAAAAATATTAATTTTATTTTAGATTTTCTAACCAATATTTTTTATTTAATTTTATTTGTGATAGAGTTCTTTTAATAATATTAAATTTTATATTTATCATAAAATACACATTTTTTTGTCAAATAATGAAAAGAAAATTATAATGAAAAGAAAATTATATTGCACTATTAAATTAAATATACTAATAAAAATAATTTTAAATTAAAAAATAATAATATCACGTGCGTAGCACGTGCATCTTCCTAGTAACTTAAAAAAAGGGAGTTTGTAAGTCTAATAAAAGGATGAGCTCTTGTTATTGTTTATAATTAAGTAGAAACTCATAGGTAAGCAGCATTGATGTATATATAAATCCCATAGAACCAAATAATATAATGAGCAGTTGAACCATATCACTCAGTACTCAAAGTCAAGCACATCAACCTCAACACAAACACAACTGGGCAGTGATTAGCAACTAATACAGTTGGAACATATGAAACATGCTTCTACTTACAAACTGCTGACTATTAAGGGGTAATAGACAAACACTCTTGTTGAGAGAAGGGACGGAGACTCGTTCTACCATACAACAATAGGCTGCAATCGAGCAGAGTCTCAATTTTTTTTTGTACAGTTGCTCGAGCTCGACCTTATAAGACGAGGCTTGGCTCAACTAGTTAAAATAACAGACTTATGTAGCACAATTAACAGCTATTGAAGAGTTGATCTGCTAATGACATAAGTACAGTATCACTGGAAAGATCGGCTGCAAGTATATGAACTTGATCATTCATGAATCTAATATAAAAATGTGCTGTGTCTCGGCTCATCCAATTTCAACTCAAACATTCTCGATAACAAACAGAGACAAACAGTGAAAAGAAAAATGAACTGAGACTACAAATGCTTATATATAAAGTGATATATGATGACAGATTTATTCTCTCCAGGTCAATCGAAAGCGCATGAAGTGCTTCACGTTCTTAGAATCCTTTGGAAACAATGCTTTCCAAAATTTTGACCAACTTCTCTCTAGGACAGAATGCCATTCTTCCTCGTTTTCGTCAGAAGTTTCATACGTTACTTTCTCAAGATCTTGTCGCCATTGACGGCCCCTTGTTATTCGGCCACTTTCAAATCCTCCCTTCTCCATCCCCAGGATCTTGCACATCACCTTTGTTGGTTGGTTGCATAATTGGTCGAACAAAAATCTGAAATCTGGGCCAACATCAACAAGAGACCGTTGTATAATTCTCGGACGACAAATGAAAAATAGATTGTCCATAAAAGATGACACGGAGTGCGTAGATAGATTCAACCCCCCAATATGTAGAGACATTTCTGATCCGCTTACTGCCTTGAGCATTTGACATAATTTGTCCAACCCTTGTGAAGTCTCTTCGAACAAAGTACCAGTCCGCAGGGTTATATCCGATTTCCACTTTTCAGAAGTTGTCGTGAAAGAAAATGACTCAGGAACGCGACCTTCAAACTTAAACATGACTATGCTTGGCACATCAATAGCAACCCTGTTGAACGGCACATTAGTATAACGACTAGACAACTCAAATTTCTTGATTGAACGACTAGACAGCTCAAATTCCTCAAAGCCATAGCAATTTTTCAAGGATAGACTTCCAAGGCAAGGGAAGTTGTGCGAAAAGTAGCCGACTGACTCTGTAGATAGTCTCACAGAAGAAAGACTTAAAGACTTTAGATGAGGAAAATAGGTCATTTTGTCGTGATACCATTTCGAACAGTCATGAATATTGATTTTCTCAAGAGACGGGACATCGATTTCAAGACTCGGCGGCTCATTGACATTGTATGAACCAGACCATTCAAACCGCTTGAGATAGCGAGCCCGTTTATCGATTCTGATGGCTCTCAACCCTACACATCCACTGAGCTCCAACTTAATCAAAGGGCAGCTAAATATTATCTTCTCAAGAATTTCATCCGTAATACAAACGTTCGAAAGGCGGAGTTTTTTGAGATGAATTAATGACGACGTATCACTGTGAAGAATATCATCGCGGCTCAAGTTGCAGGAGTGAAGAGTCAAACGTCGGAGGGACTTAGATTCGAAAATTATAGAGGGCGGGTCAAAGCGCGCGTTTTCCTCATCCTGATCAAAAAACAAATACAGACTAAAGTCTTGGGCACCCCAGTCCCGAACGAGCACCGGAATCCATTTGTCAAGAAACAAAAAGGACTCGGCATCGGGATTTGACAGGTCAACAAAGATTATTTGCGGACAAATCTTGTGATGATGGTACAATTGCAAGTGTCTTTCCTTGGCGTCGATGAACTCTTGTTTGCTTCCTTTAAAGTTGTCCTCTATCATGGTGAAATAGGGTCCTGTGGACTCGATATAGCGCCATGATTTGGAGAGCGTGCAAGTTCTAGCGGCTTCTCGTGGGGAGAGCCGATCGAGTATACAGTGCAATATCGGCTGTGGCAGTTGGGATATTCTGTCGTCCTGCATCATCCTTGAAGCATTCATAATTTCTGACATGTTTTCTTTGTTCAACGTAACTAATCATTACTAATAAGAAACCTTTAGATTCGTTTTCAGATGTAACTACCAATGTATTCAATAAATATTCCACGAGTAGAATTCTTTTACAAGTTCAAGTACTGCCAGAAGTATTGTCATCAAATGACTCTAAATTTCTCTTTGCAGTGACTACTATATCTCTGTATTAACCGACTATAACCGTCCCTATAATTAAATGAGAGAAACTCTATCTCTCTTTAACAACTCTACTAGTGCGTGGCCCGTACGATGCACGGAAAAACAATATTACAATTGTATTACAAATTAAATATACAAATAAATTGTTTGACACAGTTCGACTGGATGGACTAAGGAACCAGCCCATTCACAGCACTCACAATCCTCAGATTATATATTTAGACAGCATAATGCCCAACACAAGTTAACTCAAATTCCATTATTTTTTTGCAGACTATAATTGCTCTCAGCCCCAAGCATTTATCGAGCACCACATGAGTTTCAATCAACAGACAGCTCTATATTATCTTCTCAAGAATTCTATTGCTTAAAGAAAGCATTTTGAGATTTTTTTTAATAGTATTAGAATTTAAGGCGGCCCAATTTCCAATTTGTACGATACAAACCTTCCAACATTTCAACTTCGAAAACGATAAGTGGCAGATCAAAGATTGAGGAGTTAAAATGAAAGGCAAAATTCTAGCAGCTGAACCCACTTGTCTAGAAACGAAACATGACCACACGGACAAGAAGAATTCCCACAGACAGATCTTTTTATCCTGCTATAGCTGCAAGTACCTATCGACTTCATCGAAGAACCTCTGAGAAACAAACAAGCAAAGACATTTTGCTCTCCTTGACAGAAGAGACGGAGACTCGTCTTTCAAATGTTGTTCTACCCTACAACACTACCATACAATAAAAGGCTGCAATTGAGCAGAGTCTCAATTTTTTTTGCACAGTTGCTCGAGCCCTCGACCTTTTAAGACAAGGCTTGGCTCAACTCGTTAGAATAACAGACATATGTAGCACAATTAACAGCTATCGAAGAACTGATCTACTAATGACATATAAGTAAGTCGAGTATCACTGGGAAGATAGATAGGCTGCAGGTATATGAACTGGATCATTCATGAATCTAATATAAAAAATGTGCTGTGTCTCTTCTAAACAACCTAAAAAAATTAAAATTAAAAAAAATTGGGAAGTCTCTTCTAGGAAAACACACAAGGTTACTCAAACATTTTCGAAAACAAACAGAGACAAAGTAACAGTGAAAAGAAAAATGGACATAGACTACAAATGCTTATATATAAAGTGATATATGATGACAGATTTATTCTCTCCAGGTCAATCGAAAGCGCATGCAGTGCTTCACGCTCTTAGAATCATCCTCTGGCAACAATGTTTCCCAAAATTTTGACCAACTTCTCTCTAGGACAGGATGCCATTCTTCCTCGTTTCTATCAAAAGTCTCAAATATTACTTTCTCAAGATCTTGTCGCCATTGACGGCCCCTTGTTATTCGGCCACTTTCAAATCTTCCCTTCTCCATCCCCAGGATCTTGCACATCAACTCTGTTGTTTTGTTGTGCCGTTTGTGAAACTTCCATTCGGATTCAGGGCCAACAACAAGAGACCGTTGTATAATTCTCGGACGACAAATGCAAAATAGATTGTCCATAAAAGACGACGCGAAATGCGGAGATATATCAAACTGCCTAATATCTAGAGATATTTCGGATCCGCTTACTGCCTTGAGCAGTTGACCAACTTTGCCCAACCTTGGTGAAGCCTCATCGAACAAACGATCATGCCCCAGTGTTATATCCGATTTCCACTTTTTGGAAGTTGTTGTGAAAGAAAATGATTCGGGAGCATAACCTTCATACTTAAACACGACTATGCTTGGCACATCAATAACACTGTTCAACGACACATCACGACTAGACAAATCAAATTTCTTGATTGAACGACTAGACAGCTCAAATTCCTCAAAGACATAGCAATCTTTCAAGGATAGACTTTCAAGGCAAGGGAAGTTGTGCGAAAAGAAGTCAGAGTGACTCTGTAGAGAGTCTCATAGAAGAAAGACTTAAAGACTTGAGATGAGGAGAAAAGATCATCTTGTCGTGATGCCAATTTGAACAGTGATCAACATTGATTTCCTCAAGAGATGGGACGTCAATTTCAAGACTCGGCGACTCTTTGACGTCGTATGAACCAGACCATTCAAATCGCTTGAGATGGCGAGCCCGTTTATCGATTCTGATGGATCTCAACCCTACGCATCCACTGAGCTTCAATTCAATCAACGGGCAGCTATATATTATCTTCTCGAGAATTTCATCCGTAATACAAACGTCCGAAAGGCGGAGTTGTTTGAGGTGAATTGATGACGACATATCACTGTGAAGAATATCATCGTGGCTTAAGTTGCAGTAGTGAAGATTCAAACGTTGGAGGGACTTAGATTCGAAAATCATAGAGGGCGGGTCAAAGCGCGCGTTTTCTTCTTCATGCCGATCAAAATACAAATCCAAAATAACGTCTTGTACAGCCTAGTCCCGAAAGAGCACTGGAACCCACTTGTCAAGAAACAACAACCACTCACTCGGCACCCGGCGTTGACAGGTTAACATAGATTATTTGTGGACAAATCTTGTGATCATGGTATAACTGCAAGTGTCTTTCGTTGGCGTTGATGAACTCTCGATAGCTTCCATTAAAGTGGTCCTCTATCATGGTGAAATAGGGTCCTGTGGACTCGATATAGCGCCATGATTTGGAGAGCGTGCAAGTTCTAGCGGCTTCTCGTTGGGAGAGCCAATCGAGTATACGGTGCAATATCGGCTGTGGCAATTGGGATATTCTGTCCTTCATCAACCTTGGAGCCTTCATAATTTCTGAGTCAATCACATCAGTCATTAAAAGATCATGAAAAACTACCGTCAGACTGCTTAAAAAACCAAGAAACTAAATACAGAACATAAACGACAATTTTGCTATGGACTGAAGCCAACCTTCTATATACCACAAATAAACCTACCGTAAATTACGAACACCCAATTAATCTACCGGAATGAGTTTATCAGACGAACCAAATTAAATCAATCAGCGGATAGATTAAAATAAAATGCTGTTCAAAATAACCAATTATCAATAAGAAACCTTTAGCTTCTTTCTTATATATGGTATAGAAAAGATTTGTTTGAATTTTTTTTTCGTATTTTGCTTCCTCCTAGGATTCTATTATCATTATTTAGCTTCTTTCTTATGGTATAGAATTTTATTGCTTATTTAACTCCTCTCTTGTTACCTAAAACTAGTCGAGGCCAGCACGATGCACGGAATGGTATATCCTCCCTATATATCTTCCCTATATCATCCTTATATATAACTGTTACCTACAACTAATATATCTCTGAATTTTGATTTGTTTCCTTCAATAAGCTATTGAATTATAAATATATTTTAAAAGTTGATAACTTTTGTATTTCTTATCGGTTTTACATATATAATATAAAAATTAATCATCTTTTGATGATCTTCGATTTGACATCCATATTGTATATATATGAAATAAATAAATTATATTTATATTTATAATAATAAAAAATAATAATATTTGAAATTCATTAGAAAAATAAAATTTGTTTTCAATTGATATATTTATATGTAATGTAGTTATATATTGTAAGTTAAAAAAAAATTAGTATAATATAACACAAGTACTTGCACAAATAAAAAGTGTCATAATAAATATATAATAATATATATATTCTTATAAAAGGTATTTAAATTTTCAAACTATTTTTTCTCATTAGTTTTAGATTTTAAGAAAAAAAAAAAAAGCAAGCACCCGTGTAATACACGGGTGTTGTACTAGTTTTCACTAAATTTTTTATTATTGAATATTAGATTTAATAGAGTTGGTGTATATGAAATAAATATAAACAGGTCGGGACAAATTAAAAAAAAATCATAAATTATTGAATAATTTCTTGTAAACAACGTTTTGGTTTGATATGGTGGCAAGTAATCTTCACTACATACTAATAATTTAAATAATTTAGCATATGGATTCGATAATGATAGATATATAGTAACAAAAAAATATTTACCTCTTCATCATTGAAGTTTATTTCCGACTACTTGGCTTGGAAATTTCTTTCATCTATACAAACAACCTTCAGTGTCGAGTATAGCTTTTTTTTTTTTTTGGAAACCGAATCAAAAGAACACTATAGAGCGGCATATTGATATGGTGGAAAAAATGAAATTAGTCAGATTCTATAAATTAGGGATTGATAAAAAAAATGCTGATGTGGTAAATGATTTTTGTAATTGAGTACTTATATATGTTTCGTAATTATTTGTGTTAAATGTATATATGGTTCTAATTAAAAAAAAAAAACGTTCAAGATTTGTGATGATTTTTATTCGGTCCGACTTATTTTGAGATAAGATAATAATGAATCTTTTAAATGAGATATATTTTACTATCTGCTTAAATTGTTTGTTTAAAAACTAGTGCGGTATCAGTGCGATGCATGAGCTAGTTTTATTAAGGTAAGCAGTTAAATTTAGATGATTAGAAGAACATAAAAAACATATATTGAAATGAAACACAATGTAACGTTATATATTATTAAACACATCATTGTACACAAAATTATTTGTTTGGTCTTTTGGTACATCGTCTATCGCCACAAATTATATTAAGATTGTAGATAGTCTTAAATAAACCGATTAAATAATTAGCAGAATATATACGATATTTTTTAAGTGTATGAAATCATTATTTATTTTGTAAGTGTATTCGATCAATTCAATTTGTATTGTATATTATTAAATAAAACCCAAATTTTTAGGATGTTACAATCCGATTTCATTTTGAATTTCAAATTAATATTATATGACTTTGTTTTATGTTTAAAAAAAGTCCGAATTAAAGAAATGAGTAATCAAATGATAAAAGATTTTATAATTTTTTTTTGAAATTTGGCCCGATTTTTATGTAATCCGATTTTTTTTAATAAACATGATCTGCTACAATTAGATAAAGATACATGTGAAGTGAATAAATTTCACCCGGCTCCTTCAACTCGAACGGCCTCCGTACCTGCAGAACCCAACACCGGGGGTGGCCCCGGCGTCGGGCCTCCGATGCCTAAGCCAGTCCTCATATCAAGAGAGAGAAAGTGTAGTCATCAAAATGAGTAAAGAATGAGAGAATGAGGTACCTTGGCCCCCTTTTATAGGGGGAGTGTACCTTTTAGGCCCAAGTTGGGCTTGACCCATATCGTTGGGCTTAGATGTCTTAGTGGGCTTATTCTCCAATATGTATTCGCTTAATCCATAAACCGGGTCCAGTATAATATCCTATATCATCTAGTCCCCCCCACTCTGGTCGAGTAAGCATGACTCGATCCAAGAGTGAAAATTCCTCTTCGGATTGTTTTCGTCGACCTGCCACTGAGGTTACCATTTGAATAAATCTTCGGCCACCAAATAGTTATCAATCCTCCAAGTGAGCATCGAGACCCCAAATGAATACCGAATGACCACCAATATCAAAAATCGAGTGACCCATCACCGGGGTCGAACACCGAGAATCGAGAGACCGTTTAGGTCGAAAGTCGAGAATCGAGAATCGAGAGACCTGCCTCTGAGGTCGAAAGTCGAGAATCAAGGATCGAGAGACCTGCCTCTGAGGTCGAACACCGAGAATCAAGAATCGAGAGACCTGCCTCTGAGGTCGAAAACCGAAAATTGAGCATCGAGAGACCTGCCTCTGTGGTCGAACACCGAGAATCAAGAATCGAGAGACCTGCCTCTGAGGTCGAATGCCGAGAATCAAGAATCGAGAGACCTGCCTCTGAGGTCGAACGCCGAGAATCAAGGATCGAGAGACCTGCCTCTGAGGTCGAACACCGAGAATCTAGAATCGAGAGACCTGCCTCTGAGGTCAATCGAGCATCGAGATACCGTTGAGGTCGAAAAACAAGAACTGAATGACCACTCCCTGAAGTCTTGAATTTGAAAATTTGAATTTACGTCTGTTGTGTTTCGGTCACCATGTTCGAGCTCTCTTATACCACCTCGTCCTATCGCCCCTCAGTTCAAAAGTTAAAATTCAAGCCTATTGCATACTCCTGCTCGTGACGGAATGAATCCCATCTCCATGCCTTTAAAATCGAAAAATCAATTCGACAAAACCAAGATAAAACGCAATCCACCTGCTCATGACGGAATGAATCTCATCTCCCTTCCTTTAAAGTCGAAAAATCAATTCGACAAAATCAGAATGAAATAAGGAATTATCAACCTGCTCGAGCCATCATGAATACTATCGACCTGTCACCGAGGTCTGCTCGAGCTATATCCGTAATGAATCCCATTTACCTTCCCTTGAAGTCGAAAAATGAATTCGACAAAATCAAAACCATGTAAAGATCCTCGACCTGCTTCTGAGGGCTCCAATAAGCTCCATATCTTCAATGACCCAATATTAGAGTCGACCACCCAGCCCGGGGGCCTTAGTCATGGTGAATTTTTTTTGTCTTCGAACACATGCCCACCCTCGAAGGAGTGGTCGATACATGTGACCACCCAGCCCGGAGGCCTTAGTCATGGTGGATTTTTTGTCTTCGAACACATGTCCACCCTCGAAGGAGTGGTCGATACATGAAACCACTCAGCCCGAAGGCCTTAGTCATGGTGGATTTTTTGTGTTCGAACACATGCCCACCCTCGAAGGAGTGGTCGATACATGTGACCACCCAGCCCGGAGGCCTTAGTCATGGTG